AAGATAAAATAATGCATATAACTAAAGCACAAGCAATATGGTATTCTAAATCAATGCAGGAGATAAGCATGTATTATCATTGAGTAAACCCTAAAACTGTGTGGTGAAAAGTAACTTCTAAAGGTATTTTTAAAGATTTTATTTAAGGATGCCTGGGTGGCTCAGTGGTTGAGCATCTGCCTTCAGATCAAGGTGTGACCCTGGAGTCCCGGGATTGAGTCCCACATCTGGCTCTTTGCATGGAGCCTGCTTCTGTCTCTGTGTCTCTGCCTCTCTCTGGCTCTCATGAATAAGTAAATCAAATCTTAAAAAAAAAAAAAAAAAAGATTTTATTTATTTGCTAGAGAGAGAGAGATAGAGAGAAAGTGGGCACGTGCCCAAGTGGGGGAAGGGGGCAGAGGGACAAGCAGATTTCCCACTGAGTGCAGAGCCCAACTCTGGGCTGTCACTGATACCAAGATCAAGACCTGAGCAGAAGGCAAGACACTAAACAGACTGAGCCACCCAGGCGCCTGAAAAGTAACTTTTATAAAGATACTTGTGGTATGGCACTACATTAATACAGTAACACAGGCAAAATTTAAAAATGTACAGCATAATACTATGGGTATATATAACATAATAAACACTGGTATATATGTTACTAAGTCACAAAAAAATGTGGATGAGAAAATTACACTGAAAGAGTATGAATTACTTCGGAGACAGAAGAAGGTGGATAGAACTAAGCATTATATAGCAAAATATTGACACTTGATAAATACAGGTAGATTACAGGACATTTGTTACATCATTTTATGTATGTTTGAACTACTTTATAGTTGACAAAATTAATTATGGTATAATTACTAATTAATTATTGTATTAATTATACATAGTGCTTCTTATTTGGCCATTTGGATGATAACCTAGTGTTGAATTATATTTTTTTACTTCTGATCAGCAGTAATTTAAAAATTCTAGAATGTTTGCGATTATCTACAACTTAATCATTACTGAGCATATGCTGCCACCTAGCAAAACTCCCCAGAACAGTTTAACAACTGAACAGAAAACGGTTCTCTTCTTATGGAAAGACCGTGATTTACTATTTCAGTTATGAAATACAAGCTTTATAAATTCAAAAGCACATACAGAGTTCTTGACATTCAAATCCTTTACAATATGTGGAGGCAAATCACTTTATTCTCTGGTACTTTAGTTTCTAACTTTACTATGTAGTAAGAAGTGGAAAGCAATTGTCTAATGGGCTTCTTGGTAATTTGCTATCACGTATAAAATAACGTCTGTTTCATATAAAGGCTCTTTGCCTTCTACAGAATTAAAGTACATGGTCAGATTGGTTCACTTCCTAGTTTTGATTTTGCATTTCACTGCTGCCTAAAGAAACAGGTGACTGTAGCAAATCCAACTCTGATTTACAAATTCCTTACACACTAGATACTAGGCATTGTTGTTTCCAATTGGGCGACCTTTCTCTAATTCTAACCCAAAGGGAGGGGTAAAAGAGTTAGGAGATTTCCCTCCCTCGTGTGAACATTAAGTAACTCAAGTTGAGCTATCCATACTTTCATCTGCACAATGCTACTTGTTCATTATTACTTGCAAATAAGGTGGTATGCTTGAGGTTAGGAAATTGCTATAAATCAGTTAAGTATTCCCACTTCGAAGTTCATGTAAAGCATTGGTCAAAATAAAACAATTCAATAAATAAACATAATGTGAAGTAAAAAGCGATTTTTTTAAAAGAAAAGGTAAAATTAAAAAGGTAAGATTTTATATACTTAAAAAGAATAAAGGTTATTTTAAGAACTTAGAAGTAGTTGGTAAATGTCAGCTTTTCAATTTTATAAATGTCATTTTTTTTTTGAAAATTTTTGAAAAGAATAAAAATATTAAGGGTAGAAGGCACTGAAAGTTAGCATAATAGATGCCTATGCAGGCAGGATTCTTATTTTCACAAAAGACATTTTGGGAAATAAATATGCTATTAATTAGATGGCCACATAACTATTTAAAGAAAAAGCCATAAGTAAAAAAAAATTATGTACAGATAACAAGTACCAATATTCCAAAGATGATACCAGAGATTTATAAACATTTCAGAATCTGATGAAACCTATGGACTGCTTTCCTCCTAGAAGCACACACACACACACACACACACACAGACACACACCCAAACACCAACTTATACAATAATTTCAGGTAGTTATAGGATCCTTGAATTCCTATACCCCAGTTGAGGAGAGCTAATTTAAGTTACTAAGGATCATAAAAATGATGGCTCAAGTTTCTCACTGAACACATCAGTACTGAGAAAAAGCTTACAGACAGGTGAAGTAAAGAAATCTCTCACATTCACAGTCAAATATACACTCAGCAACTCTTAGAAGTGCTAAAAAGTGTTATAGGAGAGTACAGAGAGGTAAAATGTAAGTCAAACCCAGCTGCCCTGAGAAAATAACACATAGAAATATGAAATGGACTGAGAAGGAGTTTTGGGTAGACGGAAGAATATGTGCAAAGGAGGTGCAGAACTCCATGCTACCTCGCAGAGGAGAGGGCCAGTGAGGCTGAAGTGTGGGGGTGGTGGGGCGTTCCTGGGGGAGCAGTGGTATACAATAAAGGGTAGAGGAGATGGCCTTGTTTAGACTGGTCTTTACCAAAAGCAAAAGGAAACCATCCAATAGGCTGTAAACAAGGAAGCTGGGAGACTGGATTTCTCTTTTGAAGAGGGCACTCCAGCTGCACTATGGAGATCAGACTAGGGGGTAGGGAAGAGTCAGGGAAGTAGTTGGAAGGCAGTTCTGGTGACAGATGTAACTTGGACTAGGATGGGACGGTAATGAAAAAGTAATGGGTAGGTTAAAATAGTGAATGTGAACTCTTCTGCAGATATATTTCTTCCCTCGAGAAGTTAATCATTTCTTTTACCAATGTTCTATGAGGCAGTTTCTCTTAATTACTATTTTACAGTGACGGCATTAGCCATTATCTGTCATATTTGCTATATGTTTTCTTCTAATTGGCTTTTTTTTTAAATTGGGGGATGTTTCTCAATTTTTAGAAACAAATCTCTATTTGTCTTCCCCTTTTAGATACTTTCCTCCCATTCGTTTAAATTACGACACCTTCCATCATCTCCACTCTTGCTGGCCTTTCCCCCCATCCTTCATATAAGAATGTATAAGATTTACCTTAACGTGGGATGTGTACACCTATAATTTGTTATGTTCATCTAGTAGCCCGGCAAACCTTATCATAGAGCACATACATTGTAGGTGGTAGACAAATACATAAACACAGAGAAAAGAGGTAGAAAGTGTTCCAAGAGTAGAAAGTCGTTGCATGAAGAAGAGATACCTGGCCCAGTCTGAGGTGAATTAGTGAGAAATTCCTAAAGATCAAAATTTAACTGTTTTGAAGAGGCTTGGGAATTAGTTAAGTGGAAAAAGAAAACACGGTAAGTGAAGACTGCTAAATGCCATTAGAACTCTCTCAGCAATTTCAAAACCAAATGGGCAGCTCACTAGTGTTCCAAGGAATTCTCAAGGATATTAATCCAATTAAACTATTTTATATGTCCTAGGCATACTAGTGAGAAAAAGTCCACCAAATGTTTTCTGGAAGTAGAAGGTTAAGGTATGTTTACGAATATATGCTAAACATCTTCAGAATTTCACCCTTCATTGTAGTCTGTACCCCACTGCCAAGTGAAATCTGGATTTATTAACCTGCAGTAATGCAGTAATATATTTTAGTTTCATTCCCTATTTAATCCCACAAGTATTCATCAACGGAGAGTTCTCTAGCCCTGTACCACCCAAGGGGGTTCCTTCTATCATCGCTCCTTGCCGTATTGTATTACCAGTCCCTCTGCCTGGAATGCCTTCTTCCCCTTCATCGAATCAGTGACTCTAAGTCCAGTGTAAGATCCTTAAAGACAAAGAGCAATCATCACTTCATTTTGCTTTCTTTGGCAACTTTTCCGCCCTACCTGTTTTTCTGGATATTATTCTGTACCATCTGGAGGTGTTGCCTACCCTTCCCAATCTGAGCACAGGTGGTGTGAGAACAGAAACCATGTCTACATACAACTGTGCGTAACCAACAGTAGTCGCGCTCACGGCAAACACTTAAATAGCCACTGAACACAGAAGATAAAGAACTTCCTTTGCAGTGGCTGTGAGGTCTTCATTTGCGGGCTGCCCGGCAACTCTTTTTTAAAAACTTCGCATAAGGGCAGCCCCGGTGGCTCAGCGGTTTAGCGCCGCCTTCAGCCCAGGGCGTGATCCTGGGGACCCGGGATCGAGTCCCGCGTCGGGCTCCCTGCATGGAGCCTGCTTCTCCCTCTGCCTGTGTCTCCGCCTCTCTCTCTCTCTCTGTCTCTCATGAATAAATAAATAAATAAAATCTTAAAAAAATAAAGACTTCGCATAAATGGAACATGATAAATGGGACGGTAGCTGAAGTAAGAAACGTGGTCCTGAGCGTACGTCCTTATAAAAGATAGGATCGCACTGAAGAACAGCAAACTCTCCGTAAAAGCTAGACCTTTCAAGCCCTCCCCTTCACTTTCGGCATCCAAAAGAAGGCAGGTAATGTGTAACGAGAGTTTATTAGCCGCTCGGCCCTTCGCGGAGACTTCCCATACTCCCATCTCATTTAAATCTCACATCCATCTTGCGAAGTAGGCGCTGTCGTAAGGTTCGTTTCCTCCCAAAGTCCTACAGATAAAGATTCATGGGGCCCCCGAGCCAGAAGCAGGTCTCCAGTTTACCTCAGCCACCTAGGAACCGGGAGGGGGAGATCCTGTGGCCAGGCTCCGAGCTCCGGGACACCGGCCTGGGCCCAGCCAGAAGCTCCCCCAGCCGCGCTCCCTACTGTCGCCCCCAAGAGACCACGAGCCCGTCAGAAAGACCCAGAGAAGCCATTCCGGGGCGGGGGGGGGGGGTCCTCAGGGCAGGCCCACAGGCTCCGCGGGTCTCGGCGCCTACCTCGTTATTGAGGTTTAGAGTCCCCGGCTGAGCCATGGTAGATCTACTCGCGGCGGCCGGCACGTGAACTCCGTGAATCACACCGCGGCTCCGACGCCACGCCCCTCTACGGCAGCCTTAGCGGCCCAAAACTCACTCCTCTTCCTTTCGAGCCGACGCCTCAGTGACAGAGAGATCGATTCTTCTAGGGGAAGAACGGAAGTGACTGAGAACAACTTCCGGAGTGGAGCGCTACGCACCGGAACTCCGCGTTCCTATGGAAACTAGGCGCGGGCAGGTGGCCCAGAGGGCGCTCTGCAAGATGTTGCCAAGTTTAGGAGTTTTTCAAGATGTTGATTTTATTGTATTCCTTTGTAGACGTGGCTCGCTTTATAAGGACCATGTTTTTGTGTCCCAGTGGGGGGCGAAAGCCCATTTATGAAACGAACAGCTGAGCGACCAATTTTTGCTTTGAATTTTTATCTGGCGTTTGTTAAGATTCTTGCGCTTCTAACAAGCAGTCCTTATTAGATACAGCTTTTCCTGTCTAGGCTCACGTTATAGCTGAAGCACGAACATGTATTTTTTTTCTGAACACTGTAATAAGGTTGGTTTATTTATTTATTTTTAAAGACTTTATTTATTTATTCACGAGAGACACCCTGAGAGAGAGAGAGAGAGAGGCAGAGACACAGGCAGAGGGAGAAGCAGGCTCCATGCAGGGAGCCCGATGTGGGACTCAATCCCGAGTCTCCAGGATCGCGCCCTGGGCCAAAGGCAGACGCTCAACTGCTGAGCCACCCAGGCAACCCTATAATAAGGTTTAAATTTAGGTAATGAACATTTAAATTTTAAAGGAAAATCAAAAAGAAAAAGCTGAACGTTTAAAGCAAAACGTTTAAGGCACATTTGTAACTGCCTATGGGAATGGCTGTTTTGAAGTATTAGCCTGTAGGCAGAGCAGCCATTAAGGAGTAAATCCGAATTAGATCATCTTTTAATTAATGGTTCACACCTGGTAGTATTGATCGTTAAAATGAATCAAAGGCCAGGGCTACAGCTCCCATGAATTATCTCCAGAATACTCACAGAAATGTAATGACATAGGAACTATTCTTATTTCACAGATATGGAAGCTGACTTCTGAGGAGCCAAGTGTCTCACCCATGGTTGCCCAGCTGGGACCGACCACTGTCACAGGACTGCTGAACTGGTTACATAAATCTGCAGAGCCCAGTGCAGAGTGAAAATGCAAGACCCTTCATTCAAAAAGTAGGAAAAAGTTTTTCTTTTCTTTCATGGTGTCCCTTGACCTGTCATGTGTTTTTATTTGGTATTTAATGGGGTGTTCTCCAAAGCAGGGAAAATGGGTGGATCTAGTGCAGACCATCACAGGTGCCTGGGACCTGGAACCCCAGGACCTAAGGTGGATGCACTTTGGAACAAGATGGCAGCAGTTGCTGGGCAGAGACAAGAAAGTGGGAAGCCAGAGAACCCAGCGGAGGATGCAAGAGGCAGGACCAAAGATGACCCAAGACTGAACCCTTGAAATAGATTTCGTTGTCCCACTGGACTTCACGTACAAAACTCAAATTCACAGATAAAATTAAGAATTTCACCACTAATGAAAGAACATTTAAGCTAGGCCTACTTATGAGCCTCTAGTCCAAAAAGACGACCGTGCCCAGAGCCCATGCTCCTAAGTCATGATTCTGTACTCCAGTTGTATTAACTCAGACTTATATTTGGGTTGGTATGCTTTTAATTTAATTTTATTTGTTATTTAGGTACAAATGTATTAATAGTTGACTTCCTATTTGAATAATGTTGCGCAAAGGTAGTTTTGCCAGGAACACACCATATTCTGGATTGTAATTGTCTTCTTAATCATTTACTTCTTCTTAAAGCTGAAATGAGCTCCTGGAATGTAATGGTTTCTTCAACTCAAGTAGGTAGTAGGCACTCTGTACATAAAGGCATAGAAAAGGGAACCTTAAAGGTAAGTGTAGAGCTTTATGGAAAACAAGTCTTCTAATTTTGGAGAAAGGTGTTATTATGATTTCATGATACTTCAGGAAATGTGTTCTTAATATGAAGTTTGCCTGTGGCTCTTAAAGGCCCTATAGTGCTTTCCCCAGGCCACTTCTCTTGTCCAAAACCTCATTTCTCTAGCCAGCACAGTGTTCTCAGGCTCAGTGTTTGTTTTTCTTCCTTTTCTTAGCCCAGGTTCTCCTTTCCCCCCTGCCAAATCTGCTCTCTTAATGGCTACTTTTTAAGACAGGGTTAAGTGCTATTCATCTTTTTTTTTTTTTTAAGATTTTATGTATTTATTCATGAGAGAGAGAGAGAGAGAGAGAGAGAGAGAGAGGCAGAGAGACACAGGCAGAGGGAGAAGCAGGCTCCATGCAGGGAACCTGATGTGGGACTCAATCCTGGGTCTCCAGGATCAGGCCCTGGGCTAAAGGTGGTGCTAAACCACTGAGCCACCCGGGGCTGTCCAGCTATTCATCTTTTTAAAGAATGCTTTCCATCGCTTCCAACAGAAGGTAATTTTTATCAGCATATCGTTTTTATATTATTTATAGTTGTTTAATTTGAAATTTTTTTCCGTAAATATTGTTCTTTTAGGGGTCCTCGGGTGACTCACATAACATACTGGGTGGCTCACATAACAGAAGTTATTTTCTGTTACATATTTCTGGAGGGTAGAAGTCCAAGATCAAAGTGCCATCAGGCTTGCTTCTGGTGAAGGCTGCTGCCTTCATGTGTCCACAGATGGCCTTTACATTGTACTTACCCGGAGAGAGACTTCTCTGGTTGGTGTCATTCTCTCTCTCTCTCTCTCTCTCTCTCTCTCTCTCTCAGATGTCTTTTGCTTTTAAGAATACTGAGTCTGTTGGGTTCAGACCCTACCTTTATGACTTCATTTCATCTTAATTATCTCCCTAAAGCTCTATCTCCAAATATCATCACATTGGGGGTTTTAGCTTAAATATATGACTTGGAGGGAGGGGACCCACAATTCAGATTACTTTCTTTGAGAAAAGAAAATTATCTCAAAAGTAATCTTTTCTTTATCTAACATGCCTGATGACTGTCTATCATTAGATATTAGATGTCATTGATATTAGGACATTTTGCTGAGTGAAGTAAGCCAGACACAGAAGGACAGATACTACATTAAACATTTACATTATGAATCTAAAGCAGCCAGATTTATAGAAGGAAGGAGTAGAATGATGGTTGTCTGGTGCCAGAGTGAGAAAAAAATGGGGAAGTATAGTCAAAGTGGACAGAGTTTTAGTTATAAGATGAATAAGTCCAAGATATCTACTGTACAGAATACTGCCTATAGTTAACACTACCCTATACTTAAAAATTTGCTAAAAGGATCTTAAGTGTTTTTATCCTCAACAAACTAGTAAGCAATAAAGAGGGCAGGAAAAAACTTTTGGAGGTAATGAATATAATGGCATAGACTGTGGTTTGGCTTCATGGTATATCTTTACCTCCAAAGTTACTAGGCTAAGTATATTAATTGTGTGTAGCTTTTTGTATATCGATCTTACCCAGTGAAGTGCCTTTTTAAAAAAAAAAAAAAAGGTTATGGGCTGGTTCTAACAAGGTGATTGTAGTGCTTTCACCTTTCTCTTACTTAAATGAGTGGGTGAAAGAAAAGTTTTGGGGAATCCTTTCATTTTTAAAGCATGTGGTGTCTTTTTTTAATCTTTAGTACTTGAACAGTTATTAGCATTTCACTCACAACAGAGTGCAGCACAACTGAATGTCTCAATATCAACTGAGATACCACTGCATTAAGTTTTTTTTTCTCCTCTGCACTTTCAGTTCTCTATCCCTGGATGGCAGTGTTGTTCTCCAAATTCCACATTACATTTGAAATTTGGAATGTTAAAGCAATCTAAGTAAATGGCTTATGATATATTTTTCAAATTCAAAAATAGTTGGATCTTTTAGATTTTGTATTTCTTCAATTCCTAAGATTAATCTGTCAGTTTTTAATTTTTGATTTGGGTTGAATTAATAAACAGTAATCAACCCTCTAGGTGAACTACTAATGAATTTATTTAAGATGCGGTTTTGTGTGTATGTATGTGTATGTATGTATGTATGTATGTATGTATATAGATACGTAACATGCTGGAGAATGTAACTAGTTAATGTATAGAAGACAGGTACTTGGTAAGTCACTAGACTAATATGTTTACTAAATTAATCTTCTAACATTTTTTGCCTAAATTTCATTTGAATTTTTATGGAATATTTTGAATAGATTTGTTATAGTATCCCTAGGAAATCTAAAGAAAAGTTTGTATTCTAGGAATGTTAGTTATTAAAATTTTGAAAATGTTTTATAGTCAAGTTTTACAAAATCTAAAGGAATGGAGCTGACACTTAGTTACCAATGTAGTATTTTGGCTAAGAGCTTTGGCTCTGGAGTCAGACAATCTGATAAATTTAATTTCATCTCTTAATAGCTATGTGCCCTTGGGCAAATTATGTAAGCTCTCTGTGACAATTTTTCTTTATAAAAATGGGGATGATAATCAACCTCATAGGATTGTTGTGATGATTAAACAAAAACACAGTGTAGGTTCTAATGAATATTTACCTCTCAATGATTTAAATTGCTATTATTTTCCATTACCTCATTCATTTTGACAGTAACTATGTGAGATAGGCATAGTATATAAGAAGAGGGAATTGTATCTTAGGAATAACAAATATGCCTGAGGTAATAAGAGGGCAGTCCAAGTCTCTTGATGTAAAATCACTGGTGGCGGTTTTATAACAACTTTATGAATATATAAATTACATTAATAACTTATAACTGCCATGCTATTCTTTCCCATTCGCCTAATTATTTATTGATTATTTGGTAATTAATGAATACGTATTATAAATTTTTTTTTTTTTTTAGTTTATTTATGATAGTCACACACACACACAGAGAGAGAGGCAAAGACACAGGCAGAGGGAGAAGCAGGCTCCATGCACCGGGAGCCCAACGTGGGATTCGATCCCGGGTCTCCAGGATCGCGCCCTGGGCCAAAGGCAGGCGCTAAACTGCTGCGCCACCCAGGGATCCCAT